AGGCCTTTTACCATGTGTTTGTGTTCTGAATCTTGTTTAATTTCCTTTGCTGCGTTTCAGGGCCACACGTCAGGAAAAAAAGTGGAAACTGAAGAGATGAATGGCGTGTCTGAGGAGGAAGAGGATGAAGATGATGAATCCTCAGATCCAGACATAGAGGAAGAGATCCAGGCCAGCACTCAGCAGGATGGACCAGGTTAGACCAAATAAATGTGGTTATATTGAAGCATCATATTGGCTGACAAGCATCAAATTAGATATAAATCTAATTTCATTGTTCACCAGCACGTAAAAGCTGCATGTATGGAACACAGGAGTTTGCATCTAGGTAACTGCCCTCTGTGGTCTGTACCAGGATCTAAATATTCTTATGTTGTGAAAACATAACTGAGTTTCTGAGATTTTAAGACACCGCTAGGACTGCTGCTAAGGTTAGCCACACTGTGCTGATAATGTGTAACGTATGATTTAATTATTGAACAGAATGATTAACAATTTAATGTGGCTCATTAACACACAGAGAATTCATACAGACAATGTTTAAACTCATCCGTCAGATTGGGCTCAATTAAAGACTGTTTTTCTTCCCTTTAGGCTGTTATTTAGTCTGGTTTTTTTCTCCCTTTTAAACAACGAATACATTCATACAGTCAAATAAGTGTTATCAGATTTCAAAAAATATGACCAGATGAAGGGGGCAGAGATAAGAGAAGAAAATATTTATGTGCCTTTTTTGCTTCTTTCTTTAGATGAAGAAGACAACGAGGAAGACGACATTAACGAGGTGGCACAAGCGAGCGAAGGCACCAACAAGGAGGATCAGAACGATGATCAGATTGCACACGTTTCTGCAGGCGAAGAAGGAAGCTTGAAAGATGAGGACGAGCAGGTTACGAGTCCTGCTTCTGATGAGACCAAGTCCCAGATCTCGCTGCTGTCTGATATCCCCTCCCCCGCAGAAAGCCCCAGCCAATCAGAGCCCATGCAGACTGATGACCAGAGGCCGTTATTGAATGGTGACCACAAGAGCTTACAGGAACCTGCAGATTCTTCCAGTCATGAGTCAGTCGTCCTCTCAAACTACAACCAAGGCGAAACGGGCCTCACGGCAGCAGCCAATGGGAAAGCATCTCCGTCATCGCCAGAAGACGGCTTGGAAAGGTGCGGCACGCAGACAAGCAATGGCACGTCTCCACCGCCCAGCCCCAGAACCACGAGGAGCCAGAAGAGGAAGTGGGAGGAAAGGAACTCGCAGAGTAGAAAGAACCTAATCATCCCCGACAGGTGAGGCTGTCGCTGAGAGGTCAGGAGTCCACGATGGAAATGTGTTTGTGAGATAATAATACAAACAAACAAATAATGACTTATTTCTCAAAGTCAATGTGAATATATTTGATGCTCTTTAGCTTTGTAACTTTTGTAACTGTTCAGAAGGCAGAAGCAGGTGTTATAATGTGTTTATAGTAATATTTAAAACTGTAGGAGAGCAGCATGGAGGCCTGCTGCTCTCAGGAGGAACAGTTTTACGCCTCCACCGTGAAAAGCTGACGAGGCTTTGTTTCTACTCTGCCGGGCGGCGTGAACACGATAGTTCAAGATCGACGCAACGGAGCATTTTCAATTTGAAACCATCAGTGCGTCTACTGGGACGCTGAGGCCTTTCACCTTTTGAACA